GTCTCCAAGAGATTTGAATCTTGGGCACCTTCTTCGATCTCGAATGACCTCCAAGAACCAGGTGACTCAAGCTGAAGCTTCCAGCCCCAGAACACTCTCATGTAGTCGGCTGGTCAACACCTACATGAGAGCCCAAGCCAGGTTTAAGCCTGTTCTGATACCAAGTTCTCTGAAGCCAAGAAGGTTCAGACCTGTCTAGTAAGGAAAAATAAACCAGAAATGAAGAGAAAAAAGGGACAGAAGAGAAGAGGAGAAGAGGAAGAGAGAAAAGAAGAGAATGTGAGGGTTCGACACTCTTGGTCTGCCGACCCAAATGTCATTTAAATTAAGACTTCAACATTAAGTGGTATAATGATAGGAATGTCCCTGTCACTAGAAACAACAGAAAAAATCTAACAGTATTGTAGACAAGAAAGAACATATGAGCAAGTTGTGGGACCACAAGCTGGTCAACCATTTTCTCTAGACATAACAAGCAGATAGGTATCATAATCATATTTCATCAATAAGGCTACAAATGGCCTTTAAATTGTGGTTATGTGCATTATCATGGTGTGAGGAACCATAATAAGCCAAGTTTCATGAACAAGGTTGTAGATGGTTTCCCCCCCTCACACATAGGTTATTATGATGTGAGAATCATAGTCATCCAAGTTTCATGAACAAGGCTATAGATGGCCCACTCACCCAAATTTTAAAGAGAAAGTCAAGGCTTGGTGGAATAGTTTGGCCGCACCTGCAATGTGGGAAGGCCAAAAGTTCCTAAAGAACCTTCAATTGTTGAAAAAGGAGATCAAGGAGTGGAATAGGGAGAAGTTTGGGAGATTGGAGGAGAAGATAGTTGATTTGATTTCTTAGATAGAGGCAATAGATAGCAAAGAGGTAGAAGGAACTTTTGGTGAAGGTGAAAAGGAGCTGAGATGGAACTTGAAGAAAGAACTAGGGGAGACCTTATTGAGAGAGGAAATATGCTGGATGCAAAAGTCAAGAGAGAGAGATGGATCAAAGAAGGTGATGGAAATGCAAAATTTTTCCATGCCATTGCAAATCGAAGGAGAAGGAAGTGCATGATTACCTCTTTTGTGGTGGGGGAAAATTAGATCACGGATCAAGATGAGATTGCCAAAACATTCTCAGAGCATTTAGGCCAATTTATAGAAGACCCCTAATTGAGAGGTGGAGGATTGAAGGCATTGATTGGGAGACATTGGAGGAGACTCAAGTCCAATTTCTAGAAAAAAGGTTTGAAGAGAGAGATTTAGGAAGCCGTTTTTTCTATGAATAGATCAAAATCACCAGGACCCGATGGTTTCACAATGGCATTCTATCAAGATTGTTGGGACATAATTAAAGAAGATTTGATCATAGTGTTTAATGAATTCTATAGGAGAGGGGTGATAAGTCCGGGAATGAACTCTACTTTTTTAGCATTGATCCCATAGAAGAATAATGCCAACCAACATAGGGATTTTAGGCCAATAAGTCTAGTCACCATTATTTACAAGGTGATAGCAAAGGTGCTGTCTTTGAGGATTAAAAAGGTGATCTCCCCAATCGTTTCTCAAGCTCAAGGGGCCTTTGTGCAAGATAGACAGATTATTGATAAAATCTTAATTGCTAATGAATGTGTGTAGGCTCAAAAGAGATTAAAGAGGAAGGGAGTGTCTATCAATACTGGATTTGTAAAAAGCCTATGACTTGGTGGATTGGAACTTCTTGATTGAAATTATGAGGAGTTGTGGATTTGGAGACTTGTGGTTTAAATGGATCAAGGGATGCCTACAAACTTGTCACTTTTTAGTAATAGTTAATGGGACAGTGTATGATTTCTTTGAAGGATTCCGTGGGCTTAGGTAGGGTGACCCCTTTTCTCCTTTACTATTTACTCTGATTGCTGAAGCCTCAAGTAAATTGATTTCAAGAGCAAATGGTGTGCAATTATTTAGGGGTTGGTCAGTTGGGAGGGATAATGTATTAGTCACCCATTTACAATTCTCAGATGATATTCTTATTTTTTGTGGAGAAAGTAGGGAGGGAGAGGAAAATTTGAGGCTGGTTGTGAAACTCTTTGAGAGAATGTCTAATTTGAGGATTAATTGGTTGCCACACTAATTTTTCTTGTAAATCCTTTCTACATTCGATGGTTGCCACACAATCTTCTCTTCATTTTCCAGTCAAATAATTTGGTGCCCTCCTATTCCCCCTAAAATCAATGCTTTTTGTTGGGAAGTTTTTCATGGTTGTATTAATACCTTTGACGTACTTCAAAGGAAAAGACCAAATTGGTGCTTGTCCCCTAATTGGTGTGTCTTGTGTAAATTGAGTGGTGAGACTGCTTTCCACCTTCTTATTATCTTGCCCTTTTGTTAGTTTTATTTGGATTTGATTTACTTACCTTTTTGGGTGCAGGTGGACCTCTCCTGACAGGGTGGAAGGTTAATTCAACCCTAATGATATCAGTGGTAAGACAAGGAGGGGAAGGATTCTTTGGAGGTGTACTAGAGCAGCAATTCTTTGGACCATTTGGGAGGGAAGCAATGATAGAATATTTGAAAGTAAAGAAAAAGCAAGGAAGCTTTAGTTGAAACAATAACATTGAGGGTGGCACATTGGGTAAAAAGCTTGAAGCTGCTTTCAGTTTTTAAGGTCGAAGACTTTTTCAGGGTTTGGGGACTTATTGCTGTTTCATCATCTACAAGATGACAATTTTTTGAGACTTGGTCCCCTCCAACAGTTGGTTGGAAGAAGCTGAACTTTGATGGGAGTTGTGTGGGTAACCCAGGCCCTTCATGTATTGGGGGGGGCAGTAGAGATGAAAATGGATTCATTATTGCCTCTGTACTCCGGTCTTGTGGAGGAAGGTGATGTGGCAAGGGCAGAGTTTCTAGCTGCAGCATATGGGGTTGAGAAGGCTAAAGAGTTGGGGATTAATAGACTGATCATCGGGGGGAGACTCAAAAACTGTGATAAAATGGTTGCAGAAAGGGGAAGGGGTGACATGGCAGTTGAAGAATGATTTCAGAAGATTTAAATGGATGTCAAGGAACATGTCAATTCAGGTGGGATGGGTTAGGAGATCTGCCAACAGTTTGCCAGATAGCTTAGCAAAGCAAGTGGTTCAAAGAACATATATGTTTTGGGCACATTTGTAATTCTGTCCTGGGTTAGCTTACTAAGCTGATTTCTTTTGCAACTTCTTGTTGTATCCTAAAGCATCTTAATTAATGAAATTCATTCAAAGTTATTGATAAAAAAAAGAGGGAAAATGGCCATCTTGTTAGAATAAGACAAGTGGCATCCACTTTATAACTCTCTCCCCTAGGGTGACATGTGTCCTTCCAGTTAAAGTGGTTAGAGGAGGGAAAATAACTCTTTCTCCTAGGGTGACATGTGTCCCCCCACTTCAAGTGGTTAAAGGAGGGAAAATGACCATCTTGTTAGAATAAGACAAGTGGCATCCACTTTATAAATAAGTGGGATGCCTCACAAGAAAATTAATTAATATAGATTTAACTCTTTTAGGGCCTGTTATCCCATTAAATGGGCTCTACTGAAGGCCCATCAGATGCTTATTGCATTACAAACAAAGCCCAATTAACTAGGGGGACTGTTGTTCACTAAACTGGACTGTCGACCTCTTTCTTTCCTAAATTATTTCAGCCCATCCATAGGACTGACTGGGCTTCAAAAGGTAGGTTGGAAAGAAAGCCCCCTTTTCTTTTTTTTTTTTTTCTTTAAGCTGTGATTGGGAGTAGCTTAAAAAATGCTCCCAGTCCAGCAAAATTAAGGACTTAACAGGGTGTTATCTCAATGGACAGTCCTCCCTCTTTGTAATATTTTTTTCTCAATACTATATAATTTAATTCTATTTTACCATTTGAAACAGGAGAGCTCAAGTCTCTTGAATTAATTGCAAGAATCTCCATGGTAATGGTACTCATCTCACTAACTGAACCAACCAAATTCTGAGAAGAAATCATCTAAGGTTATATGACAAGAGTCTCAGATCTCATAAAATTTCTTTTTCTATAGTGCTTGAATAGACAAGTATAAAGAAACTAATGTGGTCTTCTAAAAGGCCTCCAGCAGTCGAGCTCTAGAAGCCTAGGGTTCAAAATTAATGTCTCATAAAATAAATAAATAAATAAATAAACTTTATGATTGCATATTTGGATGACTCTGAAGATTGAGTAACCAATGGAAGGCTAATATCTCATGATGCTATTGGTTGAAGTGACTGAAAGTTTGGAAGTAGAATCCTAGAGAGCTACTCTAATAGTCGTCAAATCTTTAATCTCCCAAATAGAATAAAGATCATTCTACAAAGACCTGGTGATGTTAACTATTGAATCGCGGGGGGGGGGGAGGCAAATGCAATTGCACTTTTCTCTCTCTTGAGTGGAGGAGGTTGGGGGAATAGATAACCATTGTTGGTAGAAATTTGGTGTTTGGAGTTTTGCAGTTTTTAGGTCTTTCTGTTGTTTTGAGTAGGGAATGATGATCTTATATTGTACATTTTATTTTTAAGAAGGGAAAAGTGTTTTTGGCCTTTTTTGGCAATAGGTGGAGTATTAGTGTACCACTAGTAGGTGCGGTGGGAGGAAGGCTAAGGAGATACAAAAAGTTGTACATGGTTTTTGAGAAGTAACCATGATCAGTCTGTACGTAAAGAGTAATATCATTCTGTACAGAGGCATGTTATTGCTCCATCATCCTCCCAATTTTTTGTTCATTTTATCATAGAGGCCTGTTATTTGGCATCCAGGCTGATTATTTGGCTGCTAAGATGTACTAGTGGCATTGCTGATGACATTTGCTGCCTCTGTTATTGCCAGAAGGGTGTTATTTTTTTGGCCATTTTTTCTTTTTGCTCTTAATATTCTCCTTGTCTTGGGATTTCTTTTTAATTTTTTATAATTCTGTTCTCTCTCTTTCCCTGATAAGGTGATTTTCATAAATGATTAAATAACATGTCCATTTTTGTTGAAATGATATTTCAGCAGGTGCTTCCCAGTGTGAGTTGTGATGACAATAACGAAATGAAAGGAAATCAGCGTTCTTGTGAAGTTGTTGAAAACAATGGGACTGAATCAGAAGCAAGTGAGAAGGTATGAATCCAGGGCCTTCTTTCTAGGGATGCAACTTGGGTACATGAGTTGAAGAGTTTGCAAAGAATCGTTCAAAATTTAATAAAATCTCAGCTCCAGCCTGCCCAAGTTGCACCCCTACTTTTCATTTTGATTATGGTCATTTATTTTGAATATGGACTTTTGTTTCCCTGGATGAACCATGTTCCATATTGTGCAACATCTCTTTGAGAAATATACTGCCTTATTTCTTCATTTTTAATGAAATATATTATTGATTATTGATAAAAAACAGTAATCTTATTGTTACCTGAGTGCAATATTTGTTTTTGACAAATATGACCCATAACTTATTCAATGTTTTCCATGCAGACATATACCACATTTTCAATTTCTTATTTTTATTTTGTATTGGATATTAAAAGAATGCCATTAATAGTGAATTTTTAATATCAACACACATTACATCATTAATTTAATAATGCGATATCACCTGCAAAGCAGCAATTCCCACCACCACTCGGGTTGAGAGGGCTTTGGGTTTGGGGAAAGTACCAACCGTCTCCTCTTGCATTGCCCCTATGCCTCTCAGGTTCAGGAGCATTTCTTTTCTTTGTTTGGATGTGTTTGGGTGGGACCGCTTGAAGTAAAGTAACTTTTCAGCACCAACAGAATGAGATGTACAACAAAGAGGCAAAAGATTCTATAGCAGTGTGTTAGAGGAGGCGTTCTTTGGGGATTGTGGATTGAAAGAAATGCTAGAAATTTTTAGGAAAAGACAAAAGGGCTGCATAATTGATTGAACTCACTATGATTAGAGTGACTCATTGAGCTTTGGTTTTTGAAGATTTCTTAGGCATTACCATACATGATCTGTTAAGAGAATGGAAAGTTGTGCTGATTTCCAAGTTAGGAGACCTGAAAGGTTGGCATAGTGTGTAATAGGAGCTGTTCTCCACATTTCTGCATTTTCCTTAAGACCCTTCTATTCCTTGTTCCAAGTCCCCCAACAAACTCTAAACGAAATGCAGCTCCATAAAACTTTTGCCTTTTTCCTTGAAGTCTTGGTTACTCTTGAAAATATCTTTTGGACTAGTAGGATGAATAGGCAGATTCTTGAACAGAGAAAAGAAATATTTCCAAATCAAAGCGGCTGATCTGTAAGAGAAATAAATGCATGACATCCTCTTTGTTGGCAAACTTTCGCGAAATTTTTGTTACTATTGTGATAACTGAGACAAAGCCGAAAAATTCAGGGTGAATTTATTTGGAATTTGGGCAAAATTTTGAAATCTTTCCCGAAAATTTGGAATTTTGACATATATTTCATTTAAAGTTTCACTGATTGACAAAATCAGTGATATTTAAAAAAATATCCAAATTGATGAGTGTGAAAAGTAAAGTTCATTTTTTGACAAAATTGCCCTTCTCTTCTCATGGATGATGCTCCATCACCTTTGAAAACATATAACATCGAGAATCAATGACAGCATATAATAGAGCTTGCTTTGAAAAAGAAAAATACAAGCTTCTTGTAGGCCGAGGTCTTCCACAATCAGCTTAAGGTTTCAAAGGTTTTTGAAGTACAGTAATGAAGTTTTCTTGACAACAGCATTGTATTGGGATATCCCCAGGTTGATTGTCTTCTTGGAAGTGATAACAATCAAGAAAAGGCTTGGAGTTGGCAAATCAATGTGGCCAGTGGCCTAACATCTTCTATGTTTGTGGGAATTGGGTTTCCCCATTTCAGCAATCAACTATTGCAATCCAAAATAGCTGCAGCTTCTTCTCTGTGTTCTGTAAATTTCTTCCTTTCTTAGGGAACCCATTAGTTCTTGAAACAAATGCATGAAGTTTTATCTAAACCATCAACATGGAAAAAAACCCACCAAGGTCTCTATTGCTTTTAGTGTTTCTACCAGCATTTGGAGCCCCTGTGGTGAGCCAAGAACTTTGATTTTGGGATTTTGAGGACAAAGAAAGAAGCCCATTTCGTCTGCATAACAGCCTCCATGTCTCTGAAGCTCTTTTAAGAAGCCCAAAAAAACAATCTTTCAAGAAGAGAATGTGAAATGGGAGATAATGAAAAATTGAAGAGAGAGAGGGGAGGAATATTCTACATCCGGTCCAGTTATCATGACTAGTATGAGGAAATTTAATGAATTTATCAACTTTTTCAAGAAAACCCAACTTGTTCTAAGTTAGATAGATTCTTGTTCAATGAAGCCTGGAAGAATTATTGGAGGGGCTTGATGGCTAAAGGGCTACCTAGAGTTACTTCGGATCACTACCCTATTCAGTTGGGAGAGGAACCCTTAGACCCTTTAGATTTGAGAATATGTGGTTGTCTCACCCAGACACTGTAAAAAATGTTGAGAGTTGGTGGAGTGAAGAGCTAAGAAATTTGAGGACAAAATTAAAAGCCTGGAACAATGACCAGTTTGGGAGAATAGTGGATTCAAAATCTTTGTTGTTGACTCAGATTGAAGAACTGGATAAGAAGGAATCCCAAAGGACTATGAATGCTCAGGAACAAGATTTGAGATGGAGATTAAAAAAGGAATTAGAGGAGGGCGAGAAGCGATTTTTTGGAGGCAAAAATCAAGGGTCAAATGAATCAAGGAAGGAGATGGGAACACCAAATATTTTCATGCGATTGCCAATGGGAGAAGGAGGCAAAACTTTGTAGCACAACTTGAGATTGATGGAGAGGAAATCTTCTCTCAAGAAGAAATAACCAAATGCTTTGTAGATCATTTCAAGTCAATTCTGAGAAGACCTCTTGATTGTAGGGTGGAAGTGGATGGTCTAGACTGGCTAAGTCTTTCCGAGAGGGAGAGGGGATGGTTGGAAAGAAACTATGAGGATGAGGAGATCAGACAAGCAATTTTTTTAATGGATAGATCTAATGTTCCTAGGCCAGACGGATTTATGATGGCCTTTTTTCGAGATTGCTGGGACATAGTTAAAAATGACCTATTCGTGGTATCCAGGGAGTTTGAGGATAATTTTGTTGTTAACCCTGGAGTTAATGCTACTTTTGTAGCTCTTGTTCCCAAGAAGGCTGCTGCTAAGCATCCTAAGGATTTTAGACCAATTAGCTTGGTGACTAGTGTTTACAAAATTTTGGCGAAGGTTTTATCCTTGAGGATCAAAGTGGCACTCCCCTCTCTAATTAGGCAATCTCAAGGTGCTTTTATACAAGGCAGACAAATAGTATATCGGATTTTGATAGCTAATGAATGTGTGGAGGAGATGAAGAGATCAGGTAAAAAAAGGCTTTGTCTGCAAATTGGATCTCGAAAAAGCCTATGATTTGGTGGACTGGAGTTTCCTTTTAGAGGTGCTGAGTGTGGGTTTGGGGAAAGTTGGTGCAAGTGGATTAAGGGTTGTCAATGGAGTAGTTAAGGACTTCTTCCCAGCATGTAAGGGCCTGGGACAAGGTGATCCTCTCTCCCCCTTTCTATTCACTCTTGTTGCTGATGTGTTATGTAAATTGATTTCAAAAGCAGATAGGGAGGGGATAGTGTGTGGTTGGAGAATAGAGAGAAATAGTGTGCCCGTTACTCACCTTCAGTTTACGGATGATACTATAATCTTTTGTGAAGGTAGTGATTTGTGGAAGGTTGGGAATCTTAAGAACTTGATAAATTTCTTTGAAAATGCCTCAAATCTGAAAATCAACTTTGAAAAAAGTTGTGTTGTTGGAGTCAATATGGATGATCAAGAATTGGAGGCTATTGCAGATTGCTTAGAGTGCTACACCTTGTCCTGGCCCTTAACTTATCTAAGTCTTCCCCTAGGAGCTAACCCAAAGGAGAGTTGTTTTTGGAACCCCATTGTGGAAAAGTTTGGAAAGAAGTTGGCAAGCTGGAAAAAGAATTGTGTCTTTGTGGGGGGCGGGGTAGAGCGACTTTGATCAAATCCACACTTGCTATATTACTAGTTTACTTTTTGCCTGCCTTTAATATTCTTATTAGGGAAGCTAAAAAGATAGAGAAGATGATGAAGGACTTCTTGTGGGAACCGGGGCAAGAGAAGAAAGATCATTTGATTAGGTGGGAGATAGTTATTCGAAATAAGGAGGAAGGAATAGTAGGATTAGGGAATATTGTTTATAAGAATGTAGCTCTTCTAGGTAAGTGGTTGTGGAGATGGCCTTTAGAGAGGGAGAGGTTATGGCATGCAGTGGTGGCGAGTATCCATGGCTGTTCCGGAAATGGTTGGGATGCAGGGGTATCCATGCGGGCAACTCTTGCATTACCTTGGAAGGTAATTCATGGCATCCTCTCCTAGTTCCTCCACTTTGTAAGGTACGATGCTTGCTTTGGGACTCATGTTCGCGTATACCCCTTTGTCTATAAATTGGGACCTTGGCTTTCATAGAGGGTTGAGGGATGAGAAATCCTTATCAGCTTTTGAGCTCTTATTGTTACTTGATTCTGTTTGTTTGGACCCACTCAATCTTGATAGGAGGATTTGGACTTTGACTCCGAAAGGGTTGTTTACTTGTGCATCTTTCTTTAATTCCCTTTTCTCTAGTTCCTCTCCTTGGGCTTTCTCAGTTAAGGAAGTTTGGTCTAGGCCTATTCCCCCAAAGATAGTTGTATTTTGTTGGGAAGTTTTCTATGGTAAAATCAATACGATGGATAACATGTAGAAGATCCCTTCTTGTGTTTATCCCCTAATTGGTGTATTTTGTGCAAAGCGCAGTTGGAGGACTGTTACCACTTTTTGATTTCTTGTCCTTTTGTTGCAGCCATTTGGAACTAGGTTTTTGATTTGTTTGAGTGCAGGTGGAACTTGCCAGCTGAGGTAAATTTGCTGTTTTCCCCATCTACCTTTGTGTGGACCACAAGGAGAGGGAGAATTATGTTGAAGTGTATAAGAGCAGCTCTCCTTTGGACTATTTGGGAAGAGAGAAATTCCAGAACTTTTCAGGAGAAGGAAAGAAGCATTCTTGAGGTCAAGGACTGTATTCTTACAAGGACTATTTTGTGGCTGAAATCCTTAAAGCTCTT